AACTGCATGATCAGGAAGTGGATATTGCCCACAAAAGAGGATACTGAAAAATACTGCCATATAGACTATTATTAAGGAATAAGCCTGAATCCCAAGCCTATAATGATATGTCAGTGTGGTCAGGGATTCTTCTCTCAAATATATGTATTTGTATGAACTTACCTGCCCACGTGGGTTTTTTACAAACTGTACATTCAGTTTTGTAACACATTGTCAATCTCTATTGCTCACATTGATCAATAAAGAACACTATCCTGTCAATATTTATTAACCTTATCACATCCCGGTTGCTATTAGTAACTTCTGCACACATACACGTAACAATTAATCATAATGACATCAATTTAGTTGAATCTATAGTTATTCTGTAGGCTATCGATTGGAGTTGAAATGAGAAATAATTTACCTGTATAAACAAAGGAGATAATATGACTTGCCAGTTAAGGATCAAGTTGCAATCACTAAGATATTGATATATAACGTGTGGGCCAATAATTGAATAGGCTAATTAGTCTAAGCTTAATAAAAAACTGATAATCTATTTATAATTTGGCTTATGTAAATGGCGTAATTTTAAACATAGACCTCTATTTTTTTCCTTTTTCATCATTGTCGTGTTAAAACCCCCTAATCATCTAGTTGAGACCGTGACATTCTTCCCAAAAATAGCTACTCAATTTGTATTTGTATCTGATGAGTAGAAATATTCAAAGAAATATAAGAACTAGAACTTCAAACATACATGCACAAATATACAAATACAAGCATATATACAAGCATAATGTTTCGTTTATTATTTGATAAATTTATATAAATGCTTAGTTTTTTTCAATATGGAAAAATTTTCTACAGATAAAAGTTTGATAAGTTTATACATATTAGGACTATGGTATATCTATATTCATGGTATAAAGTTCGTGACATTCTTGTTTAAAATTAGCTTAAGTTTCGGATTTTCCTAAATGTATCCAAGAACAATTTTTTATAAATGTTCTCTAATATTTACAAGCCAAATATCATAATTATATCTAAAAGCAGGATTTTAACAATATATTTTCTGAACTTAAAAGCTTTAACAAATATTTAAAAATTCTACACAATCTGATTACATACAAAGGAAATCTTCGTAATATATCGTAATATATCATAGCATTCATATATAGTTACTCTAAGACTAGTTATTACAGAAGAACATGAAAGGAATGTGTGGGCGTGTGTGTGTTATGAGTATGAAACCGCTATATCGGTTCTTTCTTTCTATGAATTTTACTAACAGTTAGTTGTTACTAAAAAACACCTTATTATAATCAAAAGTTATCTCTGTTTTGTGACCTATGCCAATGCTTTTATTGGGTTTTTAAATCTCAATCTCACTCTAACTCTAACATAATATAGTTCAATATTAATATAATTGTTGTTGCAAAAAAGGCCTTTCTACCTTGGTCTAATAATCGTTTTTGTGTTTTTAGGAATGTACCATTAAAGTTTAAAGAATAAAGGTAGTTAAATTCATCAACATTTTCTAATACATTATTATTAAAATACCGAACTTAATTTTGTTCCACTTTACCACTATATCTTAAAAATTACAGAGATTTGTGTCTGTGCAGTGACTTTTTAGGAAAGGGCAAGGCCCGACTTAGACCGAAATAATAATAAGCCCTGTTAAATGGGGACATTCCGCAAATCTGCAGGTGTGGTTTTTTAAAACCTGTTTAAATACCTCGATCGTACCTGCAAAACCCAGGTATATTTGGTAAGATGAACATATTTGTAGTTCAGTCGAATCATCGATTTCTCCCGACACCATTCATTTCATTCAAAGTTTTTTCCATCAAAGTTTTTTGGCGAATCTGACATAGCATCGGCCATTTAAAACTACGTGCAAAGCGAAGGTCAAAGAGTGATATTTACAATAAGAAAGTTACAGTGATGCCCAACCCCACTAATTTACAATTATCTTAAAGGTAATTCAATATTATGTAAGAGAAAACGTGGAGGTGTGGAAATTGGGATTTTTATATTCAATTACCTCTTTCGGGGATCCTTTATAGATTACCTTCCCCTATCAACCTATGCTTAGTCTACCATTTTTTCATGTCGGTAGCCAGAATAGAGCGATAGAATTGACTATATAGACCCTGGCCTCACTGAAAACCCCTTAAAATAGACTTAATGTGGTGCTGTTATTCACGACATAATTTGTTTGTAGCCTGAATATAATTGTCAAATACAAGTTACTCCCCTTTTCCAAAGTTCTTTAGCAATGAAGATTGATTTAAACTGTAGTTCGGAGTAGACTGCACGTGTTTTTGTTTACAAATTGAAAATGCCTTTTTTCATCCGAAATAAGTCGAATGCAAAGTCTAAAGGAAAGGTAACCATTTAATGATATTTGATATAAAAACACTAGTCTCGGAGTATTTGTAACCATACCAATGGAACATAAACTTAAATTTCTGTTTAAGATTTTGTACAAAAATGCATTTAAACTTATACAAGTCGAGTAACCTAATTTCGTGGAAACCTATTATTCGTGGTTTTCCGGAAAGGATTAATAATTTACATGAGCGACCTTGCGCGACCTCCGCATTAGTTTCTTTTAATAAACATAAGTTTTCTCTACAATATCAGCTAGTAGAATGAATCCAGTAGTTTCAAGCAAGGTAAAGTGTAATAACGTATACTTTGACAAATACAAATGGCGGATTTCAGTTATTACCAAACGTCACCAATTTTTTATCGGCCGAATTTCCTTATAATCCCAAGCGGTAATCGGAATTCCAAGTGTCGTCTGCTAGAATGTAGTCCAACGAATGAAGTCATGTGATCAACTAGCGGATTCCGTGTCAGCAGAAAATTTCTATGGAACACAAAGTGGACCATATTCTATGTTGTTTCAGTGACTTTTAGCAATAAATCACGCTACGTATCATATTTTGTCAGTCACTATTTTTTTTTTTAAATCGTGGTTCTTTGAAGGAATTGTCACTAGTTATAATGAATTGATATTAAAGATAAATACTAAGAGAAGTTAATTATACCACCCGGTATCCAAAGAACGTATTTTTTGAGACTTATTTATAGATCAAACATTGTACACGAAAATAGGTGACGCATTCTGCCGCCGTTGCCAAGTTGGTTGCTCATGAAATATGGGTCAAAGTGAAGGATTCATAAAGAAAATCGAAATAAACCAATTTTAGTTTATTTTGTAGTATATCTGAGGAAACATCTAAGACATAAGAATTTTTTTTCGTTTTTTTAACCTTGACGAAATTCGGTGTTGAATCCTTATATCCACGAAAATAGGTTACACCGCTGTATAGTCAAGTAACCTAATTCCTATTTTTCGTGCATCTCCGAAAATGATTAATAATTCACATGTGCGACCTGGAGTGACGTCCATCTTTGCATGTTTTGATAAACATGGAATATCTCTACAACGTCAACCTGTAGAATTTTTCTTGTCGTTTCAAATCCATTTATTATCAATTTCTAACAAATACAAAATGGTGATTTCAGTTATTACCAAATATCACAATTTTTATTAGCCAAATTTCCTTTATAATACCAAGCTGCAATCAGAATTCCAAGTGTTCAATCCTTATATGCTCGAATATAGGTAACACCACTGTCGAGTCGAGTAGTCTAAGTCAATTGCCATTGGTCTGTGTTTTTTTGGACTACAGTGAAAATAGTTAATTCGAGCATGATAAATGTTTAGTACCTGTTTTGCTATAGTTACAGGAACAGCAGACACTAAGGCTACTCAGCATTTTTCGTAAAAACATATTTCAATTTTTTTTGCATCAGTTAAAATTTTCATCAAACCCAAGTTACTGACAGCTAGGCCTCCCCTTTCAAAAAGACATGAAAAAAAATATTTAAAATTTTGTTGCATTCAATTTCTTTACATCTGTTCTGTTTATTTTTTTAACTTGTTATCATAAAATTTACAAATGAGTGTGAGATCGATGTTGTTGTACCTACATCTTTTATTAGCCAGTAAAGAGAACCATTGAAAAGTTTCAACGTCCTGAGCCAGTTAAAGTAAAGCATCGAAAATTAGATGATGAAAATATTGATAGTGATTCAGACATTGAAAACAGGTATATATAGATTAAGTACTTATGGCACATTTTTTTTGGTAACCAAAGAAAATAGTAGTCTGTTTGTATAGAACATGAATTTGAATGCACATTGCCATGATGTCTCAAATAAATAATAACTGCTGTTGCCCCTGTCTATAAGAAACATGGCAAACAGACAGGTGAGGCTACATAGATATAAAAGCTACAGTTCTTATAGTTTGCGTGTATGTAAATGACATCTCTGTCTAGTTTGAATCTAGTTTGCAATTATTCAGTGAATTTTTAGTTATTGCCACATAATTTAGTAAAATGTCTCTAATTTGGCTTTGAGACATGATTGAGGCTACTTTTTAATCATAATGCTATTGGTATAAGATTTTGAGTGAAATTCAGTATAAAGTCTTTGAATGGCATTTAGCAATTGTGAGTACGATATATAGACACAGCTTTATGGAATAATGTGCCTGAGGATGACGGGGGAAACACGTCGAAACGTTGCATAAAACTTTAACCAGTGATTGTTGTTCCATAAAGCTGTGTCTATATAAAATTCAGTATAATTATATAACTTTTAAATTGATGAGATATTAATACGTTAAAAAAAAATTATTTTAGTTAGTAAAACTGTTATCATTTACAACAGCTCATACTGGGTGTATATTTCCCTGTCTGGCAAGCTATCTTTTCTTCACATATTTCATAAAATTTTGATGGCATCAATCTTACTCTTGGGATAGGGTAATATTTTTATTTTATTTTTGTTACATTCCCGTAAATAATTGAAGTTATACTTATGTGTGACACACTGTGACCTCCAAAAGTATTTTTTTATTTTGGTGTCTGTACGTCACTGTAATTATGTTTTAAAGTGATTTAGATAAGGATGGAGACGTAGAATTTAGTTCGGAAGAAGAACGTGAAGAAACAGCACAAGAGAAAAAAATACGTTTGGCCAAGCAATATATTGAACAAATTAAAAAAGAAGGTTTGTTTTAAATGTTTGTACATATTAACAATTAAAATATTATACTGTAGAGAAGAGAAATTGATTAAGTTATTAAGATGTGACAACCAAAGATTAAGATATTATAGAAACTTCGTATTCTGATTTAAAGCCAAATTGCATTTTGCCAATTTATTAGCATCTTGAAACCTTGAGTACAATTTAAAGAGACAGGTTAGGAAATAGGTTAAATAGGTACCTTATTTCACCATGCTTGTATTTTGTTGCAGAAAGTGAAAAGTTACATGATGAAGAAATAGATCATGATATTATTGCTTCCAGATTAAGACAAGAAACAGTTTGTATTCTTATCTTTTTTAATTCTTAAACTCATTATTAACCTTTTATTATCTTTTATGATAGTCATTGATAGAGTGCTATAGTAAATTAGTAATGTCTCAACCATGAGAAAATATTATTTTTTTTGTAAAGAATAAAGAAGTGAATTTTTATGGAATTTTACAACATAAAGTTTTATAAAGAAATTAGTACATATTATTTTATTTATTCAGTTAGAGAGAACTAAACAGATCTATCATGAACGTGCCAATAAAGTAAGTTGTTCTAATAGTTTTTATAATAATGATTATCACTCTAAATAGTTCATAGTCAAATATATATAGTTTTTATGAAATGGGGGGCGTATATTGCCGTCACCCATGTCCGTCCGTCGGTCTGTCCGCCCATCCACAATTGCTCGTAAACCCTCTACAAGACACAATTCTAGACCCGGGTCTCGACGAAACCTGGTATGGTTGTTTCTAATCACCCAAGGATGAACCCTATTGAAATCAGAAAATCGAAAAATATTTAGTATGAGTTATTTCCCTTGTTCTTGAAAACGCGTTCAATTGTTTGTTTGTAAACACTCTAAAAGGCACAATTCTTGATGGATTTTGACGAAACTTGGTGTGAGTGTTTGTTATCACCCAAGGATAAAGCCTATTGAAAATCAGAAAAATTATTCAGTACCGCGCTGAAGATGGAATATTTGTCTTCTAGAGTTTTCACGAGCTAAAGATTTCAAAAACAAGGGCAATATTCACTATCGCCCTAAAGAGTTCAAAAGAAGTGTATGACTGAAGATTGAATACTTTTATTCGAAATCAAAGCTGAATTTGGTGAGGATCTGATGATTTTTATACGCCCACATGAAATCCGTCGGTCCGTTGGCCGGTCGGTCTGTCCGTCGGTCCGTCCACAATTGCTCTTAAACACTCTACAAGGCACAATTCTTGACTGATTTCGACGAAACTTGGTATGTTTGTTTGTAATCACCCAAGAATGAACCCTATTGAAAATCAGAAAAATCGAAAAATATTTAGTATGTGTAATTGGCATTGTTCCTGAAAACGCGTTCAAATTTTAGCTCGCAAACACTCTAGAAGGCATGATTCTTGCTGGATTTTGACAAAACTTGGTTTTATTATTCATTACTGCGCTGAAGATTGAATATTTGTCTTCTTGAGTTTTCACGTGCTAAAGATTGACCACATTTTCTAGAACTAGAGCAATAACTCATACTCAATATTATTCAGTATAGCCCTAAAGAGTTCAAAAGAAGTATATGACTGAAGGTTGAATATTTTATACTGGTGATTGTTACTGTACTGCTAAATATTTATGTTCAAAATCAAAGCTGCCAGTGGGCGTATATTACATTGCCTGGCAAGCTATCTTCTTGAGAGATATCGCATAAAACTCCGATATTGTGTTTTTTCACTTTTTTGACTCGTGCTCACCCTACAGGCTACGATATAGAGTTTGAACTACTGTTTAATGCAATTTGAAGGGATTATAAAATATAACATAGGCTCGCAGCAAGTAAAACTGTAAAACAATGATGGAGATGGTATGATAGAGTGATCGATCAATTTTGGTCAATAAGTCTCTTTTCACTATACAGCCTTTAAAATTATGATTGGTTAAAATTCTTTATTATATACAAAAGCTACTTGAGTAATTTGATATTCAATTTTATTATTATTATTCAACAGGAAAGAATGTATTAATTTAATTAGGGAAGCTGGGAAATTTGTTTTTATAGGCCCATGTTATAATGTGGACGTAAATTGTTGTCACCCATGTCCGTCGGTCCACAATTGGCTTGTGGACGTGATAGAGACTACAGTTTTCATCGGATTCGAATGAAATTTGGTGTGTTCATTTATATTGATGAGATCTTGGACAAGTTCAATATTCACGATTTTTCAATTAACGGTTTTTGCCCTTGACTTATGAAAAACGCATCAAAATATATAATAAAGATTACAGTTGTCATCCGATTTAAATGAAATTTGGTATGATTATTTATAATGATGAGATCTTAGTCAAGATTAAATTTGACAATCTTTCGATCAACGGAATTTGAGTTATTGCCCATGACTTAGTAAAAACGCATCAAAATTTCTTAGGGTTAGAGGTGACATTTTATGTCAGAATTTTATTAAATAATGTGTGTTTGTTTAAATCAACAATATCTTGCACAAATTAGATTTTTGGTATGATTTGACACAGAGAGGTGACTGCCCTTGATGTACTGAAAATGTATCAAGAAAGTGGGCGTATCTTGCTAGGCAACCACTTGTTGAGCTTGTTGAGAAAAATAAATGTTGTACAATGACTTATATGAGATCATTTATCCTGGAATGAATTATTAAGAAGTTAAGCACAACCTTGAAATCAAATCTATATTAATGTCTTCACCCTTTACTTACATTATAATTGTTTCTTGTAGCTTATATGTCCCTCCAGCGAATTAATTAAAGTATTAAGAGGACATCAATTATCTATAACCTGTCTTGTTATCTCCCCTGACGATCACTTTATATACTCAGCATCTAAAGATTGTTCTATTATTAAATGTAAGTATGTTGAGAAAGTATGTTTTTATTATTAAATGAAAGTATATTGAGAAAGGTAGTTCTTTTATTAAATGGAAGTATATTGAGAAAGATTGTTCTATTTTTTATTATTAAATGGAAGTATATAGAAAAAGGTTGTTCTATTATTAAATATTGAGAAAGGTTGTTCTATTATTAATTGGAAGTTTATTGAGAAAGGTTGTTCTATTATTAATTGGAAGTTTATTGAGAAAGGTTGTTCTATTATTAATTGGAAGTTTATTGAGAAAGGTTGTTCTATTATTAATTGGAAGTTTATTGAGAAAGGTTGTTCTATTATTAATTGGAAGTTTATTGAGAAAGGTTGTTCTATTATTAATTGGAAGTTTATTGAGAAAGGTTGTTCTATTATTAATTGGAAGTTTATTGAGAAAGGTTGTTCTATTATTAATTGGAAGTTTATTGAGAAAGGTTGTTCTATTATTAATTGGAAGTTTATTTAGAAAGGTTGTTCTATTATTAATTGGAAGTTTATTTAGAAAGGTTGTTCTATTATTAATTGGAAGTTTATGAAAAAGGTTGTTCTATTATTAATTGGAAGTTTATTGAGAAAGGTTGTTCTATTATTAATTGGAAGTTTATTGAAAAAGGTTGTTCTATTATTAATTGGAAGTTTATTGAGAAAGGTTGTTCTATTATTAATTGGAAGTTTATTGAGAAAGGTTGTTCTATTATTAATTGGAAGTTTATTGAAAAAGGTTGTTCTATTATTAATTGGAAGTTTATTGAAAAAGGTTGTTCTATTATTAATTGGAAGTTTATTGAGAAAGGTTGTTCTATTATTAATTGGAAGTTTATTGAAAAAGGTTGTTCTATTATTAATTGGAAGTTTATTGAGAAAGGTTGTTCTATTATTAATTGGAAGGTTATTGAGAAAGGTTGTTCTATTATTAATTGGAAGTTTATTGAGAAAGGTTGTTCTATTATTAATTGGAAGTTTATTGAAAAAGGTTGTTCTATTATTAATTGGAAGTTTATTGAGAAAGGTTGTTCTATTATTAATTGGAAGTTTATTGAGAAAGGTTGTTCTATTATTAATTGGAAGTTTATTGAGAAAGGTTGTTCTATTATTAATTGGAAGTTTATTGAGAAAGGTAGTTCTATTTTTAATTGGAGGTATATTGAAAAAGGTTGTTCTATTATTAAATGGAAGTTTATTGAGAAAGGTAGTTCTATTTTTAATTGGAAGTTTATTGAGAAAGGTAGTTCTATTATTAATTGGAAGTTTATTGAATAAGGTTGTTCTATTTTTAATTGGAAGTTTATTGAGAAAGGTTGTTCTATTATTAATTGGAAGTTTATTGAGAAAGGTAGTTCTATTATTTATTGGAAGTTTATTGAGAAAGGTAGTTCTATTATTAATTGGAAGTTTATTGAGAAAGGTAGTTCTATTTTTAATTGGAAGTTTATTGAGAAAGGTAGTTCTATTTTTAATTGGAAGTTTATTGAGAAAGGTTGTTCTATTATTAAATATTGAGAAAGGTTGTTCTATTATTAATTGGAGGTATATTGAAAAAGGTTGTTCTATTATTAAATGGAAGTATATAGAGAAAGGTTGTTCTATTATTAATTGGAAGTATATAGAGAAAGGTTGTTCTATTATTATTAATTGGAGTTATAATGAGAAAGGTTGTTCTATTATTATTAATTCGAGGTATATTGAGAAAGGTTGTTCTATTATGAAACTGGAAGTATTTTGAGAAAAGTCACAAATCCTCCATTGTGCACTCTTAGTACAAAGTTGAATCATATTTCAACTACTATTATCTTTAATTTTAGGGGATGTAGAGAACTGTAAGAAAATACAGACAATACCTGGTGGTAGAAAAGGTACAGAAAAAACACATATTGGTCATACAGCGCACATATTATCTTTAGCTATTACAACAGACAATAAATATTTAGTAAGATATATTATTATTATTTATTGATATAACCATTAACTAAATATACTGCAGCACATAGGTCAGTTAATGCTGATATAGCTTGATATTAAAGGTCTTTAGTTTTTGTTCTGTTATCTGTTATGTTCACTTAGAATTTGTAACTTTAAAAAACTGAGAACCCCCACTCAGATATTGTGAATAATATAGATAAATTTTATTTTATTTTTTAAGGCCTCTGGTGATAAGAATAATCTGGTACAGATTTGGGATCCATCAACATTCAAACATATAAAAACATTTCGTGGGCATAGAGGACCTGTTTCAGTAAGTATCAGAATATTATTGTTGTAAGATTGATTATATCACCCTTTGTTCATTTCTTAGTAAAATATCATTAAATGTTAACTTTTATACATTGTTCCAGTATGTGATAAAAGATAAAATGTGTAATCAATTATTTTGTGTAATTTCAGGGTTTGTCATTCAGAAAAGGCAGTCATCAATTATTTAGTGCATCTCATGATAGATCTGTTAAAATTTGGAATTTAGATGAAATGTCTTATGTTGAAACATTGTAAGTAAATAAAACTTGTGAAATTTAACTTTGTCAATTCTTATGAAATGTTAAAGAAGAGCAAATTAATTTTTTATGCAAATCTTTGACAAGTTAAATATGAAAAACTGGATAATTGCACTCTTTAACATTTTTTATAAATAAGCCAAGAGCTTTGTCATAGATTACACTTGTTATGAATTATTATTCTATTTCTCATGCTGGTAGATTAAAGATTATATATTTTGAATTAACAACGATATAGATTTGGTCATCAAGACAGTATAACAGATATAGATAGTTTAAGCAGAGAAAGAGCTATAACATCTGGTGGTAGAGATAGTAGTGTAAGAATCTGGAAGGTTGTAGAAGAATCACAGCTTGTTTTTAACAGTAATAGGTATGACTTTTTCATTGATACACTTTATCATACTCATAATTTGTATGTGCTTAAGTGATTTTTATACGCCCAAATAGAAATGTGGACGTATATTGCTGTTGCCCCTGTCTGTCGGTCCGTTCACAATTCTTGTGAGCACTATAGAGACTACAGTTTCTATTTGATTATACATAAATTTTGTATGATGATTTACATCATGAGATCGAACTTGACTATTTTTCGATAAACTGTTTTTGAATTATTGCCCTTGACCAGGGATGTTGATTTGGTTCTATATGCCGTACATGACCGACAGGGCTGCTGAAATGACCGACGGTCAATATCCTCCATTGGACATCAAGTATAGGTCAGCCATTACATGGCTTTCAATGTCGGTTAAATGCAAAATTTAATGACAACTCTAGTCTAATGAAATATAAATCCATTAATCACTACTTGGTATTACAATAACTTGATTACCAACCCGATAATCTGATAATCCCTTAATTACCTGTTATAAGTGTTAAATTAATCATCAATTCAATTATCCACTAACGGTACTTCTTTGTTTACATTTAGAAATTGAAACATAGTTATCTCCCTTAATCTAAGCAAGATAATTCTGACCTATATTCAAGGGCCTTGACCCAGTAAAAAAACATGTCCAAATTTGTGCGTGAGCGCAATAGAAACTACAATTTTCATTCAATTTAAATGAAATTTGGTGTGATGATTTATATTCATGAGATCTTGTTCAAGTTCGAATTTGACAATTTTTAGATGAACGATTTTTGAATTATTGCTACAATTTGTTTGTGAACACAATAGTTTTCAATTGATTTTTATACGCCTACAATTGCTCGTAAACACTCTACAAGACACAATTCTTAACAGATATTGACAAAACTAGGTATGAGTGTTCGTAATCACCGAAGGACAATTTTTAGCTCGTAAACACTCTAGAAGGGTCAATTCTTGACGGATTTTGACGAGAATTGGTGTGCGTGTTCATAATCACCCAAGGATAAACCCTATTGAAAATCAGAAGAATCAAAAAATATTTAGAAAGTAATTGCCCTTGTTCTTGAAAACGCGTTCAATTTTAAGCTCGTAAACACTCTAGAAGGCATAATTCTTGACGGATTTTGAAGAAACTTGTTATGGATGTTTGTTATCACCCAAGGATAAACCCTATTGAAAATCAGAAAAATCGAGTACGAGTTACTGCCTCTGTTCTTGAGATCACGTTCCATTTTTTTAGCTTGCTCACATAATTCTTGAGGGATTTTGAGAAAACTTGGTGAAATTGTTTATCAATCATGGATGAACCCTTTCTAAAATCAAAAAAATCAAAAATGTTTCATAGGAGTTATTGACCTCGTTCTTAAAATGCTTTCATATATTAGCTCTTAAATTCTTGTTGGATTTTATTATTCAGTACCGCGCTGAAGGTTGAACATTTGTCTTTTAGAGTTTTCAAGAGCTAAAAGTTGGAGTTATTGCCCTATTGTCTTCATGCGATTATGATAAAATTTGTTGTGATCATTTAAATTGATGATAAGTTAGTGAAGTTCTAATACAATGACTTTTTGATGAAGGGCTTTTTGGTTTTTGATATTGATTAAAAAAAAAAATTTGTAATAAATATAATAAACAACATATGTATTATGTATAAGCAACAATGTATTATGAAGATTTTAGAATAATAAAATTCATAAAATCATAAAGTCACTAAATACTGTTCATATTTCTGACAGCTTGTAGTGGGCGTATGTTACCTTTCCTAGCAACCTATCTTTTTTAATACAATGTATGATTTCAGAGGATGTGTAGATTGTGATGTTGTTAAATTTTATTACAATATATGATTTCAGAGGATATGTAGATGGTGATGTTGTTTTATTTTATTACAATATATGATTTTAGAGACTGTTTAGATTATGATGCTACTATTTAACACTATAATGTTTGAATGTATGATTTCAGATCAGCTGTTGATGTTGTTTTATTTTATTACAATGTACGATTTCAGGGAATGTGTGATTGTGATTCTACTTTTTATACGCCCACATCTCTCCATGTGGACGTATATTGTCAGCACCTCCGTCCGTCAACATTTGCTTGTAATCGCTCTAAAAACTAGATTTTTTGATGGAATCAAAGGAAATTCAGTATGTGTATACATATTCATAAAACGAAGATCAAGTTTGAATTTGAGCTATTTTCGACCGTTAGAAGCAGAGTTATTGCCCTTGCCCCAAAATCTTGAATATGCTATTACTCTCTTAGTTTTCAACTGATTTTGATGAAAATTGAAATGGATGTTATTGGACCTAAATCGAAAGGTTTGAGAAAGTTTAGTTTACTTCTGAATAATTTAAGGCTTTTTCAAGATTTAGGCCTCTTAGTCAGTTTTGAGGAGTTATCGCACCGATTTTGATGATACTTAAAATGGATGTTTCGCTTTTACCATCCGCATGCCGTGGTGGGCGTATATGGCTGTTGTCCACTATCTTTAACATTATGATATATGAATGTATGATTTCAGAGGATGTGTAGATTGTGTATCGTTAATAGATGAATCAAGTTTTATCACAGGTCATGATAATAAGTAAGTTTTATCCACCACATCTCATTGTTTTATTTACATCACTCACTTTTGTGACTCATTGTCATGGGTATGATTGATGTATTTTAGTATCTGCTCTGATATAATCAGGATCAGGTGTAGTCTATGTCTATAGATCTTATCCACATTGAATCCAGAACGAGGCCTGTAACACAAACAAACAAAAGTAACATTATGTCACTGCAGTAAAATCACCACTTTAACTTCTTTAAACCCTACTTTTCCAATCCCACTCAAAACTAACAATATTTTTTACAATCGAAATTGAGTTAGCTATTTCATGATACTTTCAGATAAATTTTACCTTCACACATTTCTGAGAAAGGAAGGATCGGGTGTTTAGTGATGTTACATCTTTTCAATGGTTAACGTCATTTGCGTTATAAAATTTGTTATTTGTGTCTCAAAAACGAGGTGTCTAAGGTCTATTACATAGGTCATACAAATCTTTATTTTTGTGAAGATTTAACTAAACTAGTGTCCAAAAGATACGATACCAACTTATTTTCAAAATTGTTTTTTACTAAGTGAATTGTCTAATATGAAAACATGCCAATTCGTATTGCACATCCCAAACACAGCATAGCCGATAAAAATACCGGGAACACGTGATCACTTCCGGGAAAAAACGTAAATTTCGTGAAAGTGACATTTCCCTCTCTAGCATGTTCTGCACGTGCATAAAAACTGTATAAAACGGCTGATCAGACACGTTGATATCACAGCAACAAAAAGAACACAAGATATGCCACGTTTGACAGCCATCGAGAGAGAGCCTTTGGAATGGTCCAACAAGGAGCGACACACGTCGACGTCGCCAGAAGGTTGGGCTGCGCACGCATCACTATCACCAGGTTGATGCAGCGGTTAAGTCAGACAGGTCAGACGTCAGACAGGCCCAGGAGTGGATACCAGGAGTAACCACGCCCCGTGAAGATCGTTACATCCGGGTATTACACCTGAGGAACCGAACCGTAACAGCGACGTCCACGGCGGCTACAGCACTGGGACACAGGATCAGTCGACAGACCGTCTACAGGAGACTACGGCAGTATGGTATCAGGCCACGTCATCCCTACCGCGGACCGCTCCTGACGCCTCGACACCGGAACAACAGACTGATCTGGGCCAGGCGAGTTTGATGTTGGCAACGGCTGGACTGGGCACGTGTTATGTTCTCTGATGAGAGCAGATTCCTCATCTTCAAAAACGATGGACGGCAGCTTGTATACCGACGATTTGGTGAACATTTGGCACCTAACTGTATCCAATAGGTCCGGCCGTTTGGATGTGGAGGGTTAATGGTTTGGGGTGGCATATGTGGTGACGTCAGAACGAGGCTTGTCGTAATTCGTGGAAACCTGAATGCACAGCGTTATATTGATGACATCCTACGGCCTGTTGTGGTGCCCTTTATTCAGCAACAGCCTCCTGGACTCCTTTTCCAACATGACAATGCAAGGCCACACACAGCAAGATTGACACAGAACTTCCTTGCCAACGCCAACGTACAGGTTTTGCCGTGGCCCGCATGTTCGCGGACATGAATCCCATCGAGCACTTATGGGACCACCTCGATCGGCAAATCCGACGTCGCCGTGTGCCTCCAGTCAACGTCCAGGACTTGGAACGATGTCTTCTCGAGGAATGGCAACGCATCACTCCCAACGTCATCAGACGTTTGACGGCATCAGTCCGTAGGCATGTTCTGGCATGTATTGATGCTCACATACCCGCTACTGACTTGACTTTGTGACGTGTGGTGTGACATTTCCCGTTGTTTCTGTGATCAGTGCTCTAACGAAATGTTCTTTTTTCGACCCCACCCATCTTTAAAGGCTTGTCATATTGGTTGTACAGATTTTATTGAAATGAAATTTTTGTACAGATGTTGTGAAAGGATTTCTCAAAAGCATAACACCAATCCTAAACTTCTGCATTGTTTAGTTTTTCTTTTATGTCGTTGCAAACAGGTGGTATTGTTTCTTTTGGACACTAGTTTATAAGAAATATTGATTTCAACAGATAAAGAGAATAATTTGTATACATGTATTATATTTTGTTTTATCTATTTCAGTGCACTTTGTTTATGGAATGTGACTAAAAAGAAACCAACATTTACTAGACTTGGAGCTCATGGTGAAAAGAAAGAAGGTGAAAAGATAATAACAGAAGAAAATTGGATCACTTCTGTTTCTTCATTACAATATTCTGATTTAATTGTATCGGGTATGTATTTATTATAATAAGTTGTTACACACTTGCGAGTTGTTTGGCTTGACCATCACTAAAAGATGTTGAGTTGATTTTGTATTGGAATAATAATAGAAAATTGTGGTAGATCAGTTGACACTTGTTGACAACTGTTAATCAAAAGAAAGATTCAAGACCATAAAATAGTAGACTACGAAGACAATTTTGAGGAATATTGAGTAGAGATGATTTACTCAAGGTCCCCATACTTGCACACACTGACCCAAATTAGAACCCACAATGTCATGTAGAGATTCTAGTCAACTGTGCTACCCGTTTATTCATTCAACTTGACTTTTTCATATTATTACTTGATGATAAGTTAGAAAGAGTGAAAAAGTAGTAATGATATATATTCATTAGCAGGATCTAAAGATGGTTGTATTAGATTTTGGAAAGTTGGTAAAGACTTGAGATTTTTATCATTGTTATTTACACTGCCAATAGTAAGTTAACCTTTTTATTTTGTAAGTTAGTCTCAGTATTTTAGACAATAGCTCAGAAACTGGTTGCCGGTTATCAGTTAAAAACCTATGAAATGTTTGCTAGAGTTCTAGCTTAGGGTGAAACAGTATCTACATAGACTTGAATTAAGAGGGGTTAGTGTGGCTGAATTCTTCCATTGCACACCAAGTAGTGTAGTCCTCCTTTTCTCAAAGGGGGTGCAGAAAGAAAATATTTTACTTCCTTTAGCATTTTCATCAATATCTATACAGTTTCCAAACATTGTCATTTACAATCTGTGCAATAATTTTATTTACAGAAAGGCTTCGTGAATTCTTTAAAGTTTTCTAATAATGGTAAATTTCTGGTGGCTGGAATTGGTCAGGAACATAAATTAGGAAGATGGTGGAGACTTAAAGAAGCTAGGAATTCAGTGTGTATTATACCTTTAAATTATCAAGACAATCAAAAACAGAATGGAATAAAGTCTGATCAGACGACAGAGACAGTACCTCAGTCTACTACGTCATGACAATGTTTTCTCTTTAATGTTAACTGAACCCAACATGTATACCGCTACAATAGTTACAGATAGAAACTATTTGTAATGTTACTGAAGATTTCAATACAGAATCTATATAAATATGTGTGTAGTTTATCAACTCATTACATGCTCAGAAATTAGTCATGCAGTCTCACAATTACTATAGAATGATATTTATTTCCCTTTGCCTGTGGAAACTTATCAAAATCATACATAATTGATGCAATTTGGATGATATTTACTGTACATGCATATAATTATATAGGGTAGGGCTGCAAAGTTGAAGTTGCGATTTGATACACTAAATGATAGACCAACAATACCTTTTATAAGATATGATTTAAATTATTCTGTGAAAGTTATAATACGAAAATTAAATCATGACCAATTTGTAATATATGCAAGGATTCAGTGTCTTATGTCTTTTAAAGGACTTCATAAATAATTTAACTTGAAAATGAGAATATGGATATTCATAATGATAAGGCTGAGCATGAGTTTAATGCTGATAATGTCAACAAAACTGGTGGATTTTTAACAAAATATGTATAGGATACTGTCCTCTAGTAAAAGTGTGAAGGAATGCTACACAATCCATTATTTTACAATCTATTCTTGCACAATTTGCTGCAGGGTAATGTCCATTTTGATGATATTTTTTTAAGTTTACAAAATTTCATAGAAAAAAGTGAGCACAAAAAAAATTATTGTATTTCAATTTAAAAAATGTACAGATATATTTAATAATATTAAGATATAAAAGATAGAGGAATACATACAGACAATTTAAATAATTTAATTCAAAAAAAATATGTTAATCAGATACAAGTCAAACTAGAAGTCTTTGTTGAATAGAAAACATTCTAGAAAAAATCTAAATCTTTGGCTGTAATTTGTATTCTTTATCAATGACAAATTTCGTTTATATTTTTGTAAGGTTTAATCTGTTCTGATCAATATTTTTTGTAAGGCACAATATATATGTATCTCAGATCGTAATGAAATGAGCATTTCCAAAATAACAATATTATAAACAAAGTTTGTAAATAAACTTATGGATCTCATGGATAAATTAAGTATTATTCTATAATACACATAAATCAATATTTATCAAAAGAAAATAAAAATAAGTACTTGTTACATCATAATTTATTATGTCAGTTCCAGCTAGCAAACATCCATCAGTATCTAACCTAGATAATCTAAATTCCCACTCAAATGATCCAGGGTTAATATTCATTCTGATTTAAGTCTCAAACTTACACTAGAGGCCCTAATTTAAACATTAACAATCATTGTTCTAGCTAGTGTCATGTTCTTAGATTTACCTTTCTATCAGCTAGATTTACATTTTTTTTATATTTCATTATATTATTAAGACTTGTCTTGCTCTATTTATCACAGTTAGCTTATAATAAAAAAAAAATTACAAAATTTAGATAAATAGCTTGATAGTAAAACTCAAGAGCAATAATACAGAGATTGATTGGGATATTTTGTTAGCATCTGAACCTTGGTTATCTGAATTATCTTGGTCACCTGATGTCACTCTATATCCTGGTTCAAGATCTAATTCTTTACATTTTGGTGGTTGAAATCCTTGCAACATTTTTATCACAATATCTACAGCATCGTTGCCACATTTTGGCCTCACTATAGTCTGTATACAACCAACAGCTATATTGTAAAATCTGAAATTTAAATGATTTTATGTTTATTTTTAAAATGGCTTATAACGAACTAAATTGAGCTGAATGTTAACCTTGATGGACAATTTAAAAGGTGTCAATTTCAGTAATTGCTTAGATATGCTGTAGGCTTGTATGCCATTCTGGAGTCGGTAAATATCTTCCTAAGTCAGCTGTTAAGATAAAGCCTTTTAAATTGATAATAATTGATAGGCCTTATACTTACCTACAGGTTGATGTCATCATAACATCCATATTGGATGTTGAGTCTACTTTTGTTTTAAAATTATTTCTAACATCTTGAGCACACTTTTTTTGATCTTCATGAGAATCAGCTACACACTCAGCATTTTCTTCATATACTAAAATATTGAAAGATTGAATTATAAAACAACAAATATCTGATAAGGAATGAAACAAAGTATTATTTCTTACTGTTTAACACTTTAAAGTTAAATGAGATACATGTTTTTTTGCTGCAATTTATAGTAGAGCACAAATATTTGTGCCTGTCTGTAAATCTGTAAATATCACATTTTTTGTTAACATCAATGCTGTTGTATACTTACTATGTAAATTATCACAGAAATATTGAACGCTTCGTTTAATACTTTCCACATTTATCATCATTCGTAAAAAATGTTCTCGTTCAGTGTTTCCCTGACAAGCATTCATTATTTCTTCTAAACATTGAACAGCATTATTTAGACGATTCTCTCTAAAAATAGAAAAAAAAATTGAAATAAGTTCATTGAGGCCATTAATTTTCCCCTATATTAGGGTTCTCCTGCATATTTGAGATATCAAGATCAAATTGAGGTCACTTATATAGTTGGATTTTTTTTACTTTAGGAATCAATAGGTAAAATTGAGATGTTTCAGTTGGTAAAATGAATAAGACAACTATATCTATATATTAAAGGGACTACACAAGTTTACTTTAGCTTATTAATTGGTTCCCACCAACAGTATATTTGTATAAGAACATGTTTCTCTAATTGATTTTTGATACCAATAACTGCAATTCTCCTCAGATGATATATTCATAAAAAAGAAATTTCACTGATCTTGATGGGGAGTAAAATTCAGGCTGTGCACCAAATCTTTCCTCACGATGGGGCTGTCCATCTTTTTATAATCTTGAAAACAATAAGGAAAAGGACTAAAAAAAAAATTAAAAAACAATACAATTCTTGAAAAATGACCTCACCTACAAGATAACTTGGCTATTTCAATTTTTCCCTTTTCAACAAATGGTGTTGGACCTTGAGGTGGTCCTATACCCAAAGTGGCAGTACACATCTGAGCTTGGTACATAGCATTAAGTGGACATTCTGCAGCAGTTTTCAGTACTGAAATTGAAATTGAAATCTGGGAACATTTCAAGGTGGTTTACATTCCTGATGATGGCTAAACATTTTTTAATTTACTTTTGAAGAATCTAAGGGTGAGAAAATTCTGTAGTTTTCTATTACATTTCACAATTGTTTCTGTATTGTTGAAATTCTGTATTGTTGAAAGAATGGTATAAATCTAACCTAATAATATCAATGAAATTTGACATGCTTTACTCTTACTGGTATTTTATACCAAATAAAAACATATGGTATAGGTTACCATTGAGTGAACTATTTTTTATTGTTCAATGGTGTGAAAAAATAAACAAAATTTCATGTCAGAATATATTGTCAGTATTGTCCATACATCATGTAATTTATTTTATAGCTCTAGCATAATTTTAAGCTTACAGGTCACCAGTACACAATTTACGTAGATTTTCACTTAGGTAATTGACATGGAAAGGTGGGCAGGAAATAGCATAAGATGGAAAAGAATGAGAGGGAGAGTTAATGACATGAGATAGAAAGACGGATAAATGGCATATGATGGAAAAGTAGATAGAAATGACACAAGAAGATACAAAGGTGGATAGGAAATAACATGATATACCAAATACATAAGAAATGATATGAGATATAAAATAAATAGGAAAAGATATGAGATATAAAGTACATAGGAAAAGATATGAGATACAAAGGTGCATAAGAAATGATATGAGAAACAAAGTGCATAGGAAACGATATGAGATGGGAAAGAAAATCAAATGAGATACAAAAGTGGATAGGAGATTACAATGAAATGAAAAGGTGGATAGGGGGTAAAAGTCAGAAAATCTGGCATATCTGTTCAACCACTTGGTCTGGTAACCATATGTTACCTTCACAATCATGACTTATATTATATAAAGCTTTTCTATAATGAACTTTGTAGATTATGCACCATAGATCATGACATGTAAAGGAAGTCATCACATACTGTATTTCCTAAGCCTAAAGGTTGAAAACTGAGTTAATAAAGATTTATGTTAATATAAATATTAATACTATAGGAGTTTCAAACAAAGAAAGATTTTCATATTGGATATTGATATTACCAAAATGGTAACCTGAATTGAATTGGTTTAGTTAACGGGATTGTAAAGAGTTTTTCTAAATTATTCACAAATTATTAAAAAGACACATATTCTTATGAGAAAACTGTACAATATACATGATTAAATAGTAGCTACAGAATATGATAAAAATATGGTTACCTACATCAGGTATCATAAAGTCCCATCTACACTATCATACGTTTTTTCAAAACATCATACATTTGTATGATCATGTCCAAAATTGTTGTGGATTTCTGTCTAACAGATCCAACATTTATATGACTGTGTATGACTAATTATGGAGAGAAAATACTATTTTTGGGTCGAAAATGATTCAACATAGTTGCTCTAATCAATCTGCATTGTGGTGTTGCTGCACCGGTTATTATTTTAACAATTATTCGTCTGACAAAGGCGAAACAGGAGAGCATGAGAGGTTCGGCAATGGATTATTAGCAAATATGGTCAGGGCCTAACTAGGGTCTTTTTTCCATGAGGCAACAATACTGTCTTTCATTACGAGGTTTTGGTAAACTTCAAAAGGTAACCATACATGTCAAATAAGCAGATAAAATCATTATATTATATATCTGTCATGCAAAATGTGTATTTGTATTTGTTATTATTACTTTTCAGTATGAGGCATTTATCTCATTGTCCTTGATAAAGTTATCACCCTGGTTCCATTAATTGCAAAGATTCAGAAATGAGATGTATTGCATTAACTGTTCACAGTTGATCAGTGCTATTCTGAAAGCAACGTCACATGACATGTATACAACTGCTGATTTGTAAAAGACATAACTAATATAAATATTGCCAACATTTGTTGAAAAGATGTTTGTCCATGTTCAACTTTGTTGGGAAAGCTGTCCAGACCATCAAATATTTGTCCACAACACGGTCATACAAATGTATGACAATGTTTTGAACAAATGTTTGATCCTGTAGAAGGGGCTTAAGGTTCATAACATTGTATTCAAGCTCTTTTCATTTTTCTAGAACATGCAAAAGATAGGCATGCCATTTCAAACAAGTGGGATCAAAACTGAACGACTGCATAATGAAAAGCTGTATATAAAATAAGGGTTGAGATTTTTTTTTATTTACACTATGCAGACTAATAAACATGTAAAGACCCACTTGTTTCGCTCTGGTAACTATTAATATGTTGTATTAACTTAAATGATGATTGTTTCCATATGTCTATATTTCTACACCTTTTTAGTCATGATCAAAATTAATTCAAAGAAAGCTAAATGTGAATAGGAAACCTAAAGGTTAATTTTGTGAAAGAACAAAATGTTAGTTGTTAGTATGGCTATCATTAAAAACTGTACTGTTGTGAGATCTGTAACAAACAGATAGACACTTTTACCATATCAGCACCTACAACCTGCATCACTGACAAGGAGATGTTTCTTGCCAGGATCACACAGCATTCCAGAGTATTTCCCTCTAAGGTTTTTAGCATCCTCTTTTGTGAAGAGGAATAACAATATAAGAAAATTCTTTTTTCTTCATGCCTGATATAAATATTAACTTAAAGGGTTCAGTATTATTATATAAATTATTTATAAAGGAATGACAGAAGAAAAATTTTGAAGGTGAAGTCAATAAGGATACTAACAGTTTTAATTGAGTTATTTTTCGGACCTTACATCCCTCATAAGAAGGGATTTTTCTCAAAAAGAAATACAGATAGCTGACTCTATAGTTGACATTTTCAATGATTAGCTCCTATGGGATCAGCTTGTTTTGACTATAGTCTTCATGTTAAGGAATTGCTATGATGTTAGGAGTTAGTTTGTCTCTCCATCTATGATATCGGATGATAACGTGACATTGACAATTAAATTGATGGATACTAATAAAAATCAATGATCATTCTCCAGTCAAACTTGGTTTAACTAACTATTCTATCATCAGATTGAATTAAATAAATAATCACAACAGTTAATCACCTTCTGATTTACTCTAGACAACTTAATAGTCAGGAAATTCAGGTTTTATGAAGCCAGAACAAATCAGTCTATTCAGCTGAATTATATAGGTCTGTCTCCAGCCCCCTGGAACTGGGTTACAAATAGGGGGTAGATTGACTTAATATTGGGAAAACTGTCGGGACTGAGAACTCTATGGAAGTATAATAGGTGCAACTATACCATATGGGGTTCTCCCCTCCCCTCCCTTGAAATATTATGAATTCTGCCACATAATTTAGAGTAGAAATATATAGAAATCATATTTAGAAATTAGTTTAGTACAACCTATTTTCTCACTCTCCCTGTCTTATGCTATAAAAACCTATGTTTATGTTGTACAGAACAAGTTGACATGTTATTTTATAAGTATTAATTAAAACACAGTTAATCAGGACTGGTGTTGAATTTCTAATGGAAAATTTTCAGTTTGTGTGGACCAATTATTCAGATTATTACAAAACAACTAGACTATATTGTTTCCCTTATTTGTAATCTACTACCAGTACATTAAATTTATTTTCTAGACTTAAATTTTGTCAGAACAGAGTAAAAGGCATTTGTAGCGCTACTAAGTGCTTGAGCTTCTTCACATGATTTTGGGACAGATATTCTAAAAGACTTTTACAAACACCTATCAATGGGACAAGGACCAGCAGGAGAATTTATTGATTACATTCATTTTATTTTCTATTCTATACACCCATAAGGAAACAACATGGAAACTTAAGGCTACAAAGAACTGTCCTGGTACATGTCCAGTATCCTACTGTCAGATTGTATTGAGTGTACTGATGCTGTGTAACACCAATGTAGTTAATAGTAAGAATAAAATCTGATCCTATATACTATTATTACAGATGTTAGTATGATAGAACTAAGGTGATATTTTAAATATAAACTTCTCTTTTCACTTTCTTGGATCTAGACTTTAAAATTTTTTTAAGAAATTCTTTTCATCAAAAAAATTAGTTCTACTTTGACTTGATATTCAGGGCAATGTACAGGCTTGTTTAATTTATATCAGCACAGCAGATCATTGATGTTTACAGCTGCCGAACAGTAACTTTAACAGAACTAGGTGCAAGCAAAATATATGAAATTCGGAGTATGAAAGAGAATTTTAACATTACTATCTTATAGCACACATAAGTTATGGATTCTCATGTATAATACCTGATTCTTTACATCACTAAACCTCAGTATGACCTAGACTTATGGTATCTAGTAGTAATGAACTGATGAAAAGGTGTTTGATAATGAGCTGAAGAAAGTTTATAAATTCCACAGTGAAGAGATAACACATGTTACTATTGTATATCTCCAGGCTCAGGAAGCTAATCTTAAAGAGGATACTATCTAACTGTAGCCAGAATTTCCTGCTTTGAAATATTTACCTTGGTTACAAATTGAAAGGCCAGATCAAAATCATATGTTATTTTTCAAATAAAGGACAAAGTACACTGATCCTTTAAAATTAGGTTCTAAATCAAAATTAAATCCTGTGAATATTCATTATGACCATTGGTTTGGCTCTATTTTTTCAATCATTATCTTTTCAATCATTATCGCAGCAATATCAGTATTTGGCTCTGGTTACTGCATGTCATTTTAATACTGGTTTATATAATTTTATAAATGAATAGTATTAGCCAACTACAGTGTAATATATTGATTAGACATAGCCAGTAATATTAGTTTAGAGATGTTCTGTTGGAAAAAATCAATGTTCATATTATATTCATTCTTTACAGACTTGAGTTTATTTTATACACGTCTGTCTTAAAGTCAGTTACATGTCAGTAAGACTTTATTGAATTTTGACAATATAGATCTACCTGTAATCGTTGACCGGTAAGGCCGAGCCCCTCAGAAGACTAGTCTTTAATTGTCATTTCAATCACTGCTAATGGAATTAATGCCAGGCATTTTTCCGGGCGTCTTAGATGAAGCGAAATGAAATATTAACTTACCCGTTAATGTAAAATATATAACATACGTCAATAATAGATGCCCTGCAATACAATTTGATAACTTCATTGTGTATTTAAAGTACATTGACTGAATCGTTCTACTCTTATTAACTCTCACTAGGCTTTAGTTCTACCCTATTATAACAATAACGGAAACTGTCGGAAATATACGAATGAATCATATCTGCCAACCAACCCAAAGCGTCCGGTTTAAACAATTGATTTGTACCGTTTGGTAGGCTAATATCATGATCTATTTCATATCCTATCGTTACTCATTTTTAAATGATCGCAAATTCATGATAAATTCGGTAAGCTTTATGATTTAATAAAAAAAAAATTTTTTTATTGTTTGGCATCTGCTGGATTAGCCAAACCCCCACCCCTACCTCTAGCTAAAACACTTTTTAATATTTCACATTTCTATCCCAATGTTATAAGGTGGTGATTAAAGAATACGACATATAGACGGGTGAATTGTTAAAAGAAAAAGTCGTTATATGTCCATATAAGGTGATAATAATATGAACCCTGCATAATGATTATAAAATATAAAAAATATAGATCTACATAAGAGCCTTGCATCAAGTCCCCGTTAATATATGTGGATGTGAACATTCAATTATAAATAATAAGATAGCTTGCCATACCAAGTTTCATCGAAATCAATCAAGAATTATGCATGCCTTGTAGAGTGTTTACAAGCAATTGTGGTCGTACAGACGGACAGCGTAACGACAATATACGCCCCTCATTTCATGTGGGCGTATAAAAAGTGTCTTGATCTGAGAGACCCACCTATTTAATTATAATCAATTATCAATTATATTGTACAATTTTTACAACCTTCTCACATGTTTACCCTAGTATTGGTATTTAGCTAAACATATCAACTTTTTCTACATTCTAGGAGACTATGT